ATGTATTTTATTTTCATCTGTGTCCTTAAAATTCTGGTTCATTTGTTCTGACTTGCCGAATTGATTCATAGAGTTAAATTTATATCTCTTTGGTTTTGGTTCTCTTTGGTTCCTAGTGTTGAGGATGTGCTCGGAAGTCAGAGCCAGGGGGTCAGAGATACAAAGAGGTACCGAAGAGAAATCCAAAACGGTGTCAGGAGTCAGTTTCAGGTTTGGTTAAAAGGCAGAATCCAGCAGGTGTCAGAAGAAATGTCACAGAAACAGATAAGAAACGGAACAGGCAGGCTCAGAGGTCCAGAGGCAGAATGGGTCAGGATCAGACAATCAGAAACTCTCAGGTACGCCAGAGAACTCTCATCAATGCAGATAATTCAATTTGTTGCTCTGTACGTGTGACAGTGTAATGACAATAAATTTTAATTATTATTATTATTAACTCTCATCAAAGGCTCAGTTAATCTGGCACTAATGTCTGGTTGAAGGCTGGTTAGATAGAGGCTGGAGCAGGTTGATCAGATGAACGGTAAAGAGAACTGGGCGGAGATAGACAGGTGAATGAAACGTGTGACCAGCGCCAAGATCATAACATGGATAGCATTTAAAGTTGTTTAATTGGGCTTAGTATAAACATTTTATTTTCCACTTTAAATATCTTGCTTTAGAGCTCATCAGGAGTGTAACCGAAACAATCAAAGATATAACTGTAAAAGTTGTTTTCAGGGTGGATGTCCTCTGATAATTAGCAATGCCCTGTTAAAGGTGGATGAAGCTTTTGTCTATTTGACTGTCATACACCTTCTTATTTTGTGCAAGCTTAAATCCCTTCTGTTTATTAATGCAAACATTGGTCAGACTGTTTCTAGAGGAAAGCAGCATTTTCTTTAATTTGCAAGGTCTGTTGTTAGGTAGGTTAATCTATAAGTTTGTATATTATGTCTTCCTTGAGAAACAAGTCATTATTTTTCTTTTAACTTTGGTATAGTATGTTAATTTGTTAATTATGACTGAGTGATCCTTTGAGATATATATCATCATATATATATAAAGCACAAAGTTTACAATACACACACATGTCAACTTAACTCTTCATTGACCATCTACATTTACTTTTTTCTCTTCTTCCCCCCAGATCAGTCAGGGAACATTAAAAATGCAAAACATGAAAGGGTCCTTTATGAAAGCCTTATGTTCTCTGTTGTTTAGATCATCTCATAATTAATTACATTAATTAGTACAGTAGATGGCAGTGCCATAAACTTTCAGTGTAATTAATCTGTAAAAAAACACAAGCTTGACATTATATATATGGCACAATTGACCAACACTAACAGCTTTGAGATGCACCTTACCTTTCTGTAGCTGTAGGTCGATGCGATTTAAATTCAAAGTGAAGATCTTTGGAAGTATTGCTTTTAAATGACAGATCCCTGGATTCCTTTTTGTTACCTGGTTCTATATCCTTCATACTGGAAAACAGAATAAATGCAATAAGAATCTTTTGATGTCAAAAAATAAAACCTTATGAAATATTTAAATCTGATGGGATCTTCAGGATCCTCTGTCCTGCATGTTTGATATGTCTCTGCTCCATTACATTCCATCAAAATCAAATTATTGCGTTCCCTCTTAAGCAGCCGCTGCAGGGGCCTACTAATCACCCATTTATTAAAGTCAGGTGTGTGGATGCAGGCAAATACCTAAAACATGCATGACAATGGGTCCTGAGGTTAGAAAACAACCAGCATAGAATATTGAAAACATTAGTATGTCACAAACTTCACAAAGTAGAAGTATTGCATTTCTGATGCAATGTTCTCCTTTATTTTACTAATAATTTTTATTTTAATTAAATATTCTAAATGACAATAATATGCTGATGACACTATTTATGAAGTATCAAGTTGTTTTTTTTCATATTTTTTGTTATTCTCAACAAGTTTACTCTTAAGTTGTATTTGCAGCATATCAGCTCACTGCAGTTATGAGACTTTATGCTTTTCAGTCGGTTCAACTTCAGTCAATGGAGAGCCCTAGTCATCAATATCAAATTAGAGGAAGTGGTGTAAAGTAAGTTAATGTTTGAGGTAATGCTGTGCTTTTGTATATGCAGAAATAAAACCTTCACACATCACACAGTGTGCTCGTACATCCTTTATTGATAACACAACACTATCTAATGTTTGTTCTCACTATTGTGTCACTTTGTATGTCCATTCCAATGACACAAGCCCAACCGAAAGTTTGCTCTGCCTATGTAGAAATTATAACCAGTAAAAACGAAGCGCTTCTGAACTCACATCAGGTACAGTTTATTTTTTTTCACCTGTGGTTTTCAACATTATGGCAACAGAATTGGAATCTGAGTGCGCTGCCTTCCCCAACATTTTTGCTT